CCCCAAAACCCCAAAACCCCAAAACCCCAAAACCCCTATGATAATTCTCGAAATTGATTTTGTTAATTTTCCATCTGCTGCACTCTCTTTTGAAACTCTTCAAACTTCAGTGGCTTAGCATTGTCTCCATCACTGATTCCATCATCGGAGAGATCATCATAGTATAGAGGTGGTTCAACCATTGGTCTGATATGCATTGGCTCATGAGTAGGCCCAACTGTAAGCATGTTTTGGAGAGAAGATACATATGGGTCATCTTTGTCCAAATCTCCGTTATTTTCATCCTTGAACTTCTGAATCATTATGAACGCATAAGCTTGTATAATTTCGTTAATATTCTGCTCAATTATTCCTAAGTAAACCATCAGATTTGATTCAGTGACTCCTTGGGATCCGAGAAGATCTGTGTAGTCATCAACATTGCAACCAAGAGTTGCGAAAATACTTTCGACTCCAGCCTTAATATGGTCAAGTTTTTGGAGATTTTCTTGGTACTCATCTTCAAGAGCCTCTCATTTCTTGTTAACTTTGAGAAGCTTCTCTTCAAGATCATTGAGGATCTTTCTCTTCTGATTATCAGCAGCTTCACCTTGGTTTCGGTATTCCTCTAGTTCAGCCTTCATCTCATTGATCTGCTTCTCTGTAGAGTCAATGTCAGTACTGAGAACGTTGACAAATTTAAAAGTGTTAATAAGTTCATCAATATCATGAATTCCAGTAGCGGATTCTATTTTAGCAAAAGTTTCTTCATAGCTTTCTACCTTCTCTAACAGACTAGCACTAGCAGTATTCTGTTTATCCTTATTCTGGTTGAGATTATCAAGCTGCTGGGTGTCATCATCGTTGATATTCTTATGGTCAATGTTCATCTTCTCAAGTTCAGCTTTCTCATTATTCTTGTTCTTCATGAAATCACTCATTTCATTGAATTTCTTCATGCTTTCATTGACTTCTTTGAGCCCTTTTTCAAACTCAATCTTCTCCCTCTCTGCTTGTTGGATAAGCGTGGCTAGGTCTTCTTGGGCAGTATCTCTCTGCTCATAGGCTGTGTTAGCCTCTTCTATTATATTAGCCATTCTTTCTCTTTTTGAATGGAGTTCTTTCTCAAGTTTTCTGTAAATATTATCAAAAATAACCCTTTCTCTTCTTAAAGAGTCTATATTCTCTCTTAACTTATTTGTTCTTTGCAATTGCTTCATTAAACTTCTGGTTGGCTTTATCAAGCCTGTTCTCTAGAATTCTGATCTGCTTCTGGAACTGAGAATGCCTTTGATTCGTCCCGTTCTGTCCTTTCTGTTTCTTTTGTTTTTCAAATATATTTTCACGCAGAGTTGCGATATCTTCCTCCATTTTCTGTTGACTGAAAGTCTCTTCCTCTATTTTCTCCTTAATATTCTTAATCTCTTCTGTCGCTTTGAGGAGGTTTTGTTGAGCAGTCGAGGACTTTACCCGAGTGAGTTGGTTTGCTTGTGCGATCAAGTCATTCCTTAACTTTTCATTCTCATCCTCTAAGGACTCTATCAAGTTCTTGTGCTTCTTGAGCCTAGCTTGGGTTTCTTCATTGTACAACTTCCGGTCATGCATGATCTGCTTGGTCTTCTTCTGTAATTCCTTGTATTCGTAATTCAACTCTTCTTCTGTTTTGGACATTTTTGAATTTGGAAATTTCTGTATTATAAAAATATAAAGGGGTTTTGGGGTTTTGGGGTTTTGGGGTTTTGGGG